GATCATCTCGACCAAAAATGTGTCACGAACCTCCCCAAAAAAGTGGTTTGCAACTCCCCGATGGGGTTGCAAGCTACAATTTGAGAAACCTCGCTCTACCACATTCCAAAAAAAAAAAAAAACCACCAGCATGGGGTGCTTCTAAACTGAACACTGAACATTTTTGAAAAGACCAAAGGAAAAATGAGCACAAGCTCAAACGTCCCCTTGGATTTTTCACCCATCCTGAAAACACTGTGCAGACAAGACATAGTATGTGTCACAGAAATACTATTTATAACCATCTCTACTACTTAATCAAGGAGATACAATATGTTCTTTCCAGCCACTCTGATCCACTCCAGTGAGATTTCATTTTGACACCTAATTATTAATGTTAGAAAGCTCTTTTTTTTTAATTGAGAAAAAAAAATCATAAAGCTAGTAGAGTTGTAAAAGAAAAATAGAAATTCTCTTCATAACATCCTTTGGTCCCAGGTACAACCACTATGGACCTTCCCTCACATGCTTCCCTCCCTCACGATAAGCTTCCTCTAACTAAAATGTAGTTCATCCACCCAAGACACAAGAAAAGATCGTAACAGTTGGGGCTCAGCCACTGAGGTTTTGTTTCTTTGTTTTACCCTACTGGCTTTCCCTGAGTATCAGACTTGGCAAAGCAGCGTAACGGAGCCCAGATTCACAGCAAAAAGCTCCCGCGCATTTCCTCTATTGTTCTAGCAAACTGCACATGCAGGTTGTTTTTTTGGCAGGGCGGAAAACGTCCGGCTGCCTGGGAGCATGGTGTGTGGTCTCTCATTTGGAGCTTTTCAAAGCTGGGAACCTGCCAGACGCGCTACAAGGCTGAAGGGCAGGTTCAGAAGCAGGGCCTGGCTCTGCACCTACAATAGGGCCACTTTCCTGCAACTTTTTTGCCAGGACTTCAAGCAGTAGTTTCCCAGAGGGCAAAGGCCAAGAAAGGGATCCATCGGCGGGCAACCTAATCCCTTCAAGAGCAATTCTAAATGCTTTTCATAGCTGGAGGCAATTTATAACTTAATCCAGATTTGACTCTTTATCTGATATTATCTAGTTGGCTTGTAGACCCCCTCAAAAACATCTTCAGCAATGGGTTTTCCACATATCTTTGTCCCAAGATATCAGGGACCCAAAAGGAATGCCAGATCCCAGCCCTTCTTGTTATTTTTTTTAATTTGTATTTATTTGTATCCCCCCTTTTATTATTTTTACAAATAAGATAGCAAACATATCTAAGCACATCTTCTTCCTCTTTTCTCCACAGCAACCTTGTGAGGTGTGTTNTTTTCTTTTCATGATGACAGTGGTGAGGCCCTGCCTCCCCTGACTGCATGTCACTGCTACGGTTACATGGTGGGTCTTTCCCAATTCTATTGAAAGAATCAAGAAACAAAATGTAGCACACCTATGCAGGAACAGCAACATAAGTTATTCATCACAAAGTGGAAGACCTGTTTTTACTTGTTCCATATACCACTCCACTCACATTTGAACATTTCTTGGTTAAAGCAAAATATTTGGGCTTTGTAAATTAACCATTACCCAAACTAAAAATACCACCAACATTTGTCTTTTCTATTTTGGATGAAAAAAGGCAGATTTGAAATGTTCAGTTCTAGTGACCAGATGAGCCTTTAATCAATAACATCCAATAATTCAGTTTCTTCTCCTTTGTAGAACTGACTAAGGGGAGACAGCAGAAGCCATAGCTGAAAGGTGCTGTACTTATTCACAAAGAAATATTCATCACATGTGCCTTTCTACCATTCTCTCAAACACTTGACCATGTAAGTCTGCAAACTTTCCACAAACTATAAAATTTAGAAGATGATGGGTATTATCGCATAACTATTAGCACAATTACATCTTTAAACAGGAACACCTAACAATAGAAACTCTTCCAAATTTTTTTGAGAAATGCTATTAACCATGCTCAACAAACCTTTATAGAATCCAAAAAGAATAATTTTACTTCCCACTTAATTAAATATCAAGATTGTGTATTAAGTTAGTTAAAAGTATCTAAGAATTTAAATCTTAATTTTGGGACTCAGCCCCATCATTCTATGTGCCTGGTATGACCTTGGTTGGATAATTTCCATTTTGCTCTAGCTATATGCCAAAGCAATCATATGAGACTTTATTCAGTTTATCAATTTGTACTCAAATAAGACATATGCAAAACTATGCTAATCACTGAGAGTGCAATTTGAGTTAAGTAACATATGACATTTGGAATATGACCAAATCGGAGCATCTGCAGGTCTACACAAATCAATTTTACCATGATATATAGAATAAGCCAATAGATCAGCACTAGAGAGATTAAATTCAAGCTTCCCTTCAGCTGTGGAAGTTCATTGGGTGGATAACTTTCAGCTTTTCATTCTCTCTCAACCCAACATACATCACAAGGTTATTGCTGTGCAGAAAAATGGGGAAATGGTTTCATGTGTACACCAGCAGGAACTCAAACAGGTAGGCGGGCCGCCAGACCAAGCTTTGAGAAAGTATTCACCCAACATTAAAACAACTAGGCACCTTAAATAATTCCTACTTTATTCTAGTGAGAAAGTAGAGCATGATACTGAGACAATATGCTCAACATTTTAGGCTTGCTTGTAAAAAATAAAATACTTGGAATGGCTGATGAAAACTAATTTCACTCTTAAGTGTTCTGCACAAACCAGGAAATCTTTGCAAATATGAAAAATAGATCAGAAAATACTTATTTTTTTTCAAACAAATGAAAAACATTAAAAGTAAAGATATTTGAAAACCAACCCTCTGAATAACATCACAAGGTCATAACTTGAATTTTTTACAAAATAGCTTACCCAGATTTCAGATCAGTAATCCTTAAACAGTTAGTTGCATCCAATCCCACTTTTCCATTTCTGACCACATTGGAAATCAAAGGAGAAAGTGATGGAGAAATTCTGTTTAAAGCAACTTCAGGAGACATTATTTGTAAGTTATATTCAATTCTGTAAAAAAAATAAGAGAAAGTAAAACAGAGCAATTCCATTTCTATATATCTTTACATTTTAAGAATTTGAAAGACCTCACCAAGAGACACAGGTTAAAAAAGGATAAAGGCTAAAAACTAAAGTAAAGAATAAAAAAATCAGACAATTTATGAAAAACTACAGTAAAAAAGTAGGAGCAAAGCCATTTAAAAAGATAAAAAGGATATTTGGACAAGCATTCACCTAAATATGCCCTACATGGTCTCTTAAAATACACATTCATAAATATGGTTTGCTTAGTTTGTCCATTAGTTAATTCTGATAGACAATGCAACTTGTGGATCTTCAAATATGAGCACAATTTGCTATTAGCTTAATAAACCTCTCAGGCTTGTTGCTTGCCAAGAGACGATCAATGTTTGGCAGACAAAATATATCCATGGTTCAGCATTTTGCAAGTTGTGGCCATAAAAATGTGTTCAATAAAGTAAATAAAATTTCAGCACTAAACTTTAAACAGTATTCTTCAAATTTATCTTACAGTGAACTCAACAATCACCAGCACATTTAGAAAGGCTCGATTTTGCCCATTTTTCAACTTGGCAAAAGAGAAAGCTTAAATAATGAAAGTCATATTGTATTTGATATGGGTTATGCTGCATTTATTCTAATTATTCAAATAAAATTACAAAAACTGGGATAAAATAAACAAATTTATCATGTTTTTCCTTTGATAAAACTGTTATATATGGGCGCATATGAAACATTATAGGCAGCTCATTAATTATATGAATAAAAAAATCAGGAAATACATGTTAAGTAGATAGTTGTTGGCAGTCATTTATTGAAGAACATTTTACATCCCACCTTTTAAAACAGACACCCACTATGGTAAATTATTTTCATGAGATTTCCAGGAACCAATGTCCTCAAACATACCTTTCATTTAAAAAAACTTAGTCAATCTACATTCAGGTAGACTGCGACTTATGACCATAAGTGAGCTCAAAGTTACAATTGTAAGTTGTGCTGATGTTTAGGTAGGTTACCAAATGAGCATTTTTAATTTTATGAACTATATGGAGTGATTGTTAAGTGAACCCACTGTACCTAATGGAAGGGTTTTTGCCGGAAATTTAAACTCTGGTTTATGGCAAAAAAAAGGGTCATAAATCAGTCATATGACCATGGTGTCCAAATCACCATAATGTGAACCAGTTGCCAAGTGCCCGAAATGCGATTATGTGACTTTGAGAGAGGGTGGTCAGAACTTAGAAACTGGATCATAAGTAGCTCTTGGAAGGTCCATTGGAACTTTGAACATTTGCTGAGTGATAGATTGTAAGTTAAGAAGTCCTTGTACTGCTAAAGTTGACTCATGCATCATTAAGGATTCCTTTTTAATACTGATGTGTCTATTAATAAGTTATTAAACTTGGAATACCAAGTTTACCATTGCGTTTTGTATTTTCTTCCCAGAATATTCACAGCTGTATGAAATCTAATAAAGACAACGAAGGACTGTGGCTTTTTCTATTCCATCCCCACTATGTCACCCTTAGAAGTGCCCCCAAAGAATTTTATTAATCCAGGAAAGATTTAGAAGTTGGACAGTAAGTTGAATAGAGGATATTTTACTTAGGGGGAAGAACCAATCTACAACCATGTCTGTTCCAGAAGATAGATTTCACACTTAAGTAAAACTATTGCACAAAAAATATATTTCTCAAGTATTCCAAAGCCAATAAGCAACCGAATACTAAAAATGAAGACTGAATACATACAGGTGGAGGATTACAACTGAGGCCTCTGAAAATGGAAATATAGATTCAAATCCATCCACATCCATAAAAGTTCCCTGGAGGGTATTCCTTTAATTAAATGATTAATTTAATTTAATTAATAGAAATTTGTTTAGATGCATGACAATATATAAACAGTTAAAATGACCATGGTAACTTACAAAATTGATCCAAAGCCAATAAGCAGCCTAACAGTAAAAATTGGAGAGCCATTGTGGTATTGGACTAGATTCTAGAAGGTTCTAGCGCACCTTCAGCTGTGGAAGCCCACTAGCCAATTTTGGGTCAATTATAACATTTCAGCCCAACTTAGTTCGAAGGGCTGTTGTTATGGAGAACATTATGTATGTTCCTGTATGAAGGGAAAGATATATAGCTAATAAATAAAATAGCTAATAAGCCAGATGATATGCAGCCTTTCCTAAAAGATCTTCTGGAATTGACTAGTCTTCATTACTTTCTAGAAGGTTAGAGGGGGCATCTACAGGCTCTTCCACAATATAGGTGCCTTTTGATATTGCCTTTCCTATCATCTTGCAACTGGGGTATCATGTACAGAATTTCCTGGAAGATTTTTCTTGAAGGGCCAAAACTCTGGTTGGATTAGATGATCCTGAAGTTCAGGAGCATCCTTCAGGCCAAACCACTTCACAGAGCTGTTGTTCTGGGAAGGAAAAAAAAAGGATTGAGTGACATTTGTCGACTCAAACAACTAAAGGAAAAGTATATTAGAAAACTATAATATAGGATTATGTGCCCTCAAGTGGTCTTTGACTCCTAATGGCTACATTCTCCATGGTGAATGACATATCAAACAAGATGAAGCCAGACTCCAAAATTTATCTGTTAGTCACTGGTCATCACCTTTGCCTATAGCAAATAGGAAAAGAAACAAGGCTCATCATTAATAAACATCTGCAAAGTGTTAGGTTTTCGGTTTGATGAGCTTCGCCAATGGTAATGGAGCAATCATTCCGAGCACTACTCAGCAAAAGGCAAGAGCATAAATATCAGTACTTGGAAGAGAGGGGGGCTGTATGCACCCGATTTTTAAAGGGGGGAGGGTTAATGCAAGAATGAAAGCTCCGGTTTCCACCGCAGGAACTCCTACACTTGACGCTGAGTCCCACAACAAGGAAGATCGGGCACAAGGAAAGAGCAGGTGACACAGACACCCAGCCCGCCTGGAACCGGGCTCGGCTTCCTCCCTCAACCACCACCGAGACTTAAGGGACACCTGCAGAACCATCAGAAGAAGCGCTTACAAACCCCCGAAACAGCGCCGGCCGCTCTCCCTGTCTCTCGCGCCTCGGGCGCCTGCGCGGATCCGCCCACCCGAAGCCTGGCACGCTAACAGGACGTTACGTGCGCGCCGCAAACTGCCTTCAAACGCTCAAGCCCCTTTGCCCGGCCTTCCTCGAAAAACGGAGGAAAGGAGAGGAAAGGAGAGGAAAGGAAAGCGGGCCTTCCCTCATGAGTACATAGGTGGCCTTGCGCGCGCCTGACTGAATACAGTTTTTATAAACGGCGAGGGGCGATGGGGCGGCCAGATTCTGTAGCGACTATCGGTCTCGTCCGTAGTTAGCGTGAAAATGTGGTTAAGAAAAAGTATCAGGCGTTTTAAAGGGGCAGCCTAATAGAAGGACCCCCGCAGGTAAAGCAGGCTGATAAAGAGATAATAGGCGGATAATGTTGAGAGCTGCTGGAGGAGAGGCAGGTTAAAGGTCACGTAGTGGAGAGAAAAAAAGTTTCTTGTAGTGGCTCCTTGCTTCGTTCTCAGCATGGTTGTTGCAGAAATCGTCGTGGTGGGATCCTGTATGACTGATCTAGTGAGGTTAGTATTGCACGGGAGGCCCTGCTTTTTCCCCCTAACTCAGGAGTCTCCTAACTTGGCACCTTTAAAACCTGTGGATTCAACTCCTAGAATTCTCCAGTCAGTAGGCTGGGGAATTCTGGGAGTTGAAGTCCACAGGTCTTAAAGGTGTCAAGCTTGGGGACCCCTGCCCTAACTTAATGCAAAAACTGGTCCAAGCAAATAAATCAGTGCATTCCGATTCATTTATGTGCTCAATTACCTCAAATAGCCCCCCCTCTCTCACTCACACACACAAACACAGTTTTCTGCTAAAACAACAGATTTTACTTAATACAACAATAATAATACTAAATGTACCTTACAAAAAAAACAATATAATCTTCATCTTTCTCTTTAAGTTAGATTTAACAATAACTTTTAATAAACCTAAATAGAGCACTGTGAGTGATGTGGGTGCTTCTACTGTACATAATGATCAGTGACTTTTCTTAGAGCTGCTTGTAAATTGTGTGAGATTTACAGCTTTGTGCTGAATAGTGTACAACAAATGAGCCCTTATAGTATGTTGAAGAGAAAGCCAAATTTAGAGTCAGACTAGACTGATGTCATGTTTTACTGGTTTTTTTTTTTTTAATAGTGGAAGGGTAGGGTATAAACTAGATTAGGACTAAATAATGAGAGAAATGGAAGGCTTTAAGGTCCCCTCCATGCTACAGTTTGGATTTGGTTCAGCCTTCATTGCTTCTGCTATGTGTTCGAAGTGAAAGGAGTCACACATAGTCAAATCACATAATAAGCATTAGATCTAATTTAGCTGACAGTTATGTAAATCTCCTTAGTTCACTGTTGTAAATTAGTAGATAGACCTAGATATATAACAATTTGTTAATTTTCATCAATCATTCAGCCTTCCTAAAAAATATACACCGGGTCACCTGAACCCAGCAGAATTTTCAATAAGTTCCCCCATGTAGGTCCTTCCTGTCTCTTCCAGTTTCTTGTCAAATTTGATTTTAGCAAGCAGATATTTTGGCGCTGATTTGCTTCCCTCTATGACACTTTAAAAAAATTGTCTAAAAATTTTAGACACCTTTAGAAAATTGTTTAAAATATTCCTCATTTGGATTTAGCTCTATTTTGACACGGTGCTCAGTGGCTAAGACATTGAGCTTGTTGATTAGAAAGGTCAGCAATTCAGCGGTTCGAATCCCTAGTGCTGCGTAATGGAGTGAGCTCCTATTACTTGTCCCAGCTTCTGCCAGCCTAGCAGCTCGAAAGCATGTAAAAATGCGAGTAGAAAAATAGGAATCGCCTTTGGTGGGAAGGTAACAGCATTCTATGGGCCTTGGACGTTTAGTCATGCCAGCCACATGATCATGGAGACATCTTTGGACAGTGCTGGCTCTTCAGCTTTGAAACGGAGATGACCACCACCCCCTAGAATCAGGAACGACTAGCATATATGTGCGAGGGGAACCTTTACCTTTACCTATTTCAACTCCTCTCATAGATTTCAAAGAAATCTAATTTCTAGGTTTGTACCTCCCAAAATTGGAAAAGTGCTTTAAGATTGATAGGGAGAAAAGCACCTTTTTAACTGCATGGATTTTATCTCTGCCTATATTCCTCCACACCTATGATCAGTGTAGACTTTTCCTTCCCTTTGTCTCAGAATGGAGTGCCATATTTCATGTTGTTTCACATGCCTAAAACCACCTTCCAGCACCTGATCATCATTCAGACTTAAAACACATTAGTAAATGTTCTATAAAGCATTAAGTTGCTGTTCTCTTGATTATTAATTAACTCACAGTTAAGTGTTTTGGCCAGTTCTACAAGAAATCTGTTGTACAAAATTCTGTGCAGGCTTTTTTCTTGAACACAATGTGCGAACAATACTTCAAAATATAGTTGATGTTAGTCCTAGTCCATGGTTTTTAAAAGCTTATAATTAGAAGTCGTTTGATGTATTAGCTTGGCATATTTAGTGTATTTTTCTCAGTTATGAAAATGTTGAGCATCCTGTATTGTTGAAATTATTATGCAAGATACTGAGATCTGTTTCTGAATCTTGAAGGTCAGTTTATTTTTTTCTTTTCCTCTTGAGTTTGATTACTGTGGAAAATTTGGAAGAAATTTCCTATCATATTTGCTGCACAATGCTTCTGCCTTGCAGGCATCTGTGCTAATGTATGTCTATCCTGGATTCAATTTGCATCCAAATGCAGAATGGGTACCTGATCAGTGAAAGGTGTTAAATAGAATTTATCTTTGTACAATGGAAAAGCCACTAGGTTGTTCAGTTCCAGATTGCAGTTAAGTGCTAACACTGAACTTTTTCCAGCAACACACCCTTTTATTTAATGAACTATAGAATACATAGCTATAAAATATATGTAATCACCATAGAATATTAATTTTATACTCCTTAGAATTTATACAAAAATCTAGAAATATATTTATAAACAGAACAACTGTTCTGTTCATAAATATATTTAGGATTAGGAGATCCTAAATCTCTTAATTCTATATTTAGCATTAGGAGATTGTTAATAAAACAACATCAAAAAGGAATAGTCCACCTGTGCAGTATTTTGAAATTCAGCATTTGCACCAAGAAAAGTTAATAGGTATTTTTAAAGCTTGTGTTAGAGCATGTTAAAAATGTGTGTATACATGCAAGCTCTCATTTATGTATGTCACAGAAAACCCATCGCTTATTTAATTTTGCATTGTTTGTTGTTTAAATTACATTCCTATCACAATTTTTTTCAAGGAGCAAAAAGAAACATGCATGGTTCTCCATTCTCTCTCTCCAATTAGCCTAATTCTAACTCTAAGATTATATTGAGAGCTTCATGGATAAATAGGAATTTAAAACTGAATCTTCCAGTTTTAATCACTTATTCCATATTGGTTCTATGATATTAAGCACTTATTCCATATTGGTTCTATGATTATTTAATCTTAGCATATTGAGTTCAAGAGCCATCCACAGAGTGTTGACAATATCAAAACAGTGAGCATGACCTGGTGATTAAACCTTGCTCCTTTTTACACCTGTGTGACTCAAATTAGGAAAGGGCAGGATTATGACCATCCAGTTTCACCCACTATTTTGAAGTTCTTGATACCCCCATCCCCTCCCACCAGTTGTATGTAAAGACACAATATATATTTGCGGTGTGAAAGAATTATGAGCATACAACATTAGTCAAATAAAGAATAATGATGAAAGTCAGTTGTAGCAACAGTTGTTGGCCCATCTTAAAAAGCTGAGGGCAAATTTTGAGTTTAAATAAAAGTTGCAACTAAAATGAGGGTGGGAGAAGACAAATTGACATTTAAAGGAGCCTTTCTTGAACCACAATGACCCCCAGATTGGTATGAATTACTGATGTGTGTATGTCTGCATGTAGAGTATGTGTGTTTAGGTAAGTTGTTATAAATGTTTATTATACCTGAAGTTTGATTTATCCCAGCTGTCATTTCTCTGCTACACAGTCTCTATTTTCCAGAGAGGTGAGGTGGTTGTTTGTAATATTCACTATTTCCATGGCAGTAGACCGTGATGCGATCAGTGGAAGACTAAAATGTTCCATTGGACATGGGAAATTAAAAATCAAGAGATAAGACTTACATTTTATCAAACTCCTTGGCATTATAGCATACATGAAGCTAAAAAAACAATTGTTTAATTCTTAAGGGACTCCGTATGGTAAGAGAATAAATGTGTTTGTGTTGTTTGATCCAAGCAAGAAAATGATTACATTTAAAAGAAAACAAATTTAGCCACTTGAAATGGCTTTCTGTATTGTGATGGAAAGAACAAATATAAGTTCCAGAATAATAACTATTGTTAGGCACAGCATTTCCTAGAGATTTTTTTTTCTATTGCTAAACAACAGTTCAGAGCACTACAATTTGCCTATCAGATAGCGCTGATTTTCCCCACACATTTAAAAGAATATAAAATCAAAAGTATAATTTGGTGAAGTTTTTTCTCAAAAATGTTTGCAGAGGCTTGTGATTTTAGTCTTCTTTTAGAAGTTTTTAGAATTCTTATTACTAATTATTGATAAACGTTTGTCAATAAAATCAGAAACCCTTGTTCTATTCAAAGTAATGCTGGATTAACCACGTCATGAGCAGCAGAAACCTCCAGGCAGTAATGGAGAAGATGATTTTCTTTAAATAATGTGGCTTGGAATTATATTGCTACAGATGGAACCCATGAAACAGTATGTAAAAGAACTGCTTAAGAGAATGAGGTTTTCTATTTAAATTTTTCTTTACAAATAATATAGTCAGAATCAAATTAGAGATGCAGGTTTGAAAGAGTTGGGTTTTGGGGAGGCGGGGTCAAGGTGTTCATTTGGCTCCAAAATGCATTAGAACAGTGGTCCCCAACCGTTTTGGTACCAGAGACTGTTTTCATAGAAAACAATTTTTCCACGAACCGGGAGGAGGGATGGTTTTGGTTTCACCGGCTCACCTGCCACTCACCTCCAACTATGCAGGCTTTTCCTAACAGGCCACGGACTGGTAGGGGTTGGGGACCCCTGCATTAGAACTTAACTAATTTGTGTTACTATGCTTATCTTGAATATAGAAACTTTGAGTTCCCAAATCTGGGCTTTCCAATGTGACACACACTGATCTCGGTGGATTTTCTGCCCTGCCTCAACTAATTAAATCGATTAATTAAAACTAATTTTAAAAAATGGAAGGTTAGCATGTTTCAAAGGAAAATAACACTTCCAATATCTACTTCCATGACCCCCTTTATTTGGAAATACAAGTGGTCCTTGATTTACAACAGTTCATTTAGTGATTGTTCAAAGTTACAGTGGCACTGAAAAAGGTGACTTCTGACAGTTTTTCACACAACTGGTGCAGCATCCCCATGGTCATGTGATCAAAATTCAGCTACTTGGCATCTGGTTCATATTTATGACGGTCATGTGATAACCTTTTGCAACGCTTTGAAAAGCAAAGTTATAAGAAGCATGTTATGA